TATACTATATACAGTAGAATAAAATAGAATAAAAATATACAATAAGATAAAAATAGAATACAAATGCTATATACAACTACGCTACTGTACCCACTGTTCTTCTCACTCCACTGTACGCAGCCTTCGGTCTGTCTGAGGAGAAAGCCTGTATGACATCTGGAAAAGCCAACACACAGCAAACACTCACACACTCACACACACACACACACACACACACACACACACCTAACACACACACACCCACACCCACACCACACACACACACACCTAAAAAAGGAATATTTATTGCAGGTGTACCACAGCTTTGCATGGTTGGATCTTAACAAGGTTCCAAGTAGAGCTTTCAACATGCAACCAGAAGAAATGGGAGTGTTTATTGAAAACAACACTTAAACTGAAACAGGCTGTTTTACAACTGATCCAAAGTTTAGGACCACACCACACAAAAAAAAAACCAAGTTCCTGCGGGCATTGTGTACTGTAGCGCTGTCCTGTTGAAAAACCCAGTGGTTACCACACAGATGAGGGCCCTCAGTCATGAGGGATGCTCTCTGCATCATCTGGACATAGCCAGCAGCCGTTTGACGCCCCTGCACCTCCTGAAGCTCCGTTGTTCCACTGAAGGAAAAATCAATCCAGAAGAGCTCAACCAATGCCGAACTGCTGTGCTTCAACAGGAACATGTGATTGGTTTCCATATTATGGGCCCCAGTGCTGGAGATATCCTCCAGGGTTTTGTGGCAGCAGTGAAATGTTGTCTCACCAAAGAACAACTAGATGCTGCTGTGAGCATCCACCCCGATCAGCCCAGGTCAGTATTTTTCCACAATATTTTAAAAACCGTTTAGAAAGAACAACTTAATCTGGACGCTATTAAGGCACCAAATGACAAACTGCTGCTTCTGACACCTGCTAATAATTTTTCTTAATTATTTTTGTTATTAATCCTCTGTCTTCTGCTTGATGTGCTGTTACACTTGGTTTTGAAGAGCTGTGCTGAGAGCTCACTTTGGAGATATTACAGTGTTCATGCCCTAGAAAAGCTCTGCTGTTTGGGGTCATTGCCACAGCAGCACATTTAAATGAGTTTCCCACTTTGGATGCAGCCAGTCTGAATTATTCATAGACAATATTTAATTAAAAAACAAAAACCTGTCGCTCAAGGCAGCAGAGATTGACCCCACAGTACATGAGCCCGTAATAGTTGACATTTTCAAAAGTTAATTAATAAGACATTCAATGAAGTGGTAAATAGAGGTCACTGAGTCCGCCAGTGTCAGCTAAGACGAGGTTCGGGGAGTGATGGCTAACTACATATCACCTTGTGGACTACGGATTGATTGCTCTGCTGTAATTACTGAATGTGACTGTGTGTAATGTGAAATGTGTCACAGTGATGAACCAGTAGTAATTATGATTCGACGCAGACGTCTGTCTGTCTGAAAATGAGCCAAAACAGCTCAGTTTATTTTATACACAGGCCGAAGGTTATGTTGTAGGCTTAGATTCCATCTAAATGAGATGACATCATTGGTCTTTGCAAAAAGTGTGTTGTTGCAAAGACAAAGTGAAACATTTTCTCACTTTTATGGATTTTGCAGTGGAGTGGTGCTCACCGCTTTGACCCAGACACAACGTCTGTCTGAGGCCTTGATGCTGAGAGGAAACTGCTGAGGTTAGCTCCCCTGCTGCGCGTCACCGTCTCTTACTGCAACAGGACAGCAGGCACACGTTTGTGACCAGCTGATTAGTGGAGGTGGCAGAAAGGCTGGGTGATCCTCGAGTGATGTTTTCACCTGAACCCTGACAGACAGGCGGGTGACGACTGTTAGTCTGCTGCTAACACACTCTCTCTTTTTGTGCGTCTATTTTCTGTTTGTTTGCTTTTTTTTATGAACTGGTTGCTTTGAGTATAACTTTAAAATATAAAGTCCCACTGAAGCATTTTTTTTTGCTTCGTTGCTTCAGGGAAGATAAGATGCTTCCTAAGGTTCTGCTTTTGAAAGCCTCTGTAAGCTTAAATTTAGTAGAATATTTTAAAGGCTGCAGCATAGTGATAAGACTGGGATTTGCTGCATTTACATGGAGTAAAAGCTCTGGCTTATACTCTGTGTTTTTATTGCCTGGTACGAGCCTCGGGGGTTTTACAGACTTAATTTCATGTAATGAACTAGACGGAAGATTGTGGAATTATCTAAATTAATGGTATTCTTGGTGGAAGCTAATGCTATAGCCTTTAGAGTTCCCTATTTTTACTCTTATATTCCAACTCAGCATCACAGAGCACAACATCTGCTTTAAAGCAATGGCTGAATCTTGGTGCAGGTCATTGAGTGAAGCACATAAAGTATCTCTCTGAAGAGTTCTTTCATCCCTCATCACCTCAGGTCTGCACTCTGCATTTCGATTACATTTTTTAAAAAAAGTACCTCTGTGAGCTCACAGCATGGACGTGTCCCGTGCAAGGGCATCATTTTCATTGTCTTGGTGAGTTGCAGCCTGTCTCGAGTGCACAGGTTAAACATCCACTCCATGTTGTTGCACTCTATGATCATTGATGGGGTGGCTGTGGCTCAGGTGGTAGAGCAAATCAGCTACTGATCGGAAAGTCGGTGGTTCGGTCCTTGGCTTCCCCAGTCTGCATGTTAAGTATCCTTGGGTAAGATACTAACCCCAAATTGCCCTCTGATGCGTTCATCGGAGCGTGGATGAATGTGAATGTAGGTTAGTTTGCACTTGTGTATAGACGTGCTGGTATGAGTGGTTGTGTAGAGCGCTTTGAGTACTCCGGGAGAGTAGAAAAGCACTATATAAGAATCAGTCCATTTACCATTGATGCTGAGTGATTAGATGCAGATTTTCTATTGCTATCCCCCTGACCACCTTCTGACTGCCTCTGTGACAGACCTGCCTGCAAAAGATAGATACCCTCATTAGAACAAGTGCACAGGACTGCCTCTTTCTGGCGTGTGCTTGAAAATGCAATTAGAGCATAATTTGATCAAAGCAAAGCAGCTTCTATGACTTTGTGCAGGTCTCACAGCAAGGTGGAGATGCCATGTAGGAGTCTATTTATCACTGGCCTCTTGGCTTGGACTTGGTTTAAAGGTTTTGCCTGACCTTCTTACAGTATGCTCTTACTCCACTAGGTGGGACTGTAGCTGAATGAAGTGAATGAAGCAGCTCTGCTTGCATTTAAGTCACAAACTGAAAAGCTGTACTGGTTGATTTCATGAGAAGCACAAGTCCTCATATTATCAGCTAATGTCATTAATATATGAAACAGCGTTATATTGCTAATACAGATCTATTCATGTGTATAAGCAGTAGTTTAGCTTTGTAGCTCTTCAAGGTGGAGCCAGCTCTAATTCCACTGCACACAGCTCAGTAGTTTAGTCCAATGGTTTCCAGCCCATGGAGCCCAGGAACCTCCAAAGGGTCACAGGATGAAGCTGCTGTAACATGATGAAGAGGGCAGAGTGAAGAGTAAAAGCACATCTGTGTGCTCAGATCCATCTTTTTTCTTTGCTTTGTGAAATACTCGATCATTGAAGCCTAAAACAATCATTTACAGTGCCTCTAGTTCTCTGTCAGAAAAACAAATCAATCAGCTGAGACATGACAAAACAAACTACACACTTTGAATGCTGAATGACTGTTTTTGGATTTTTGTTATGTTTTGGTTCGAGCTGTTTCACATTTTGTGTTGTTATCACTGGTTCCTGTCTGGATGGTAACTTTTTAGACCTCGATAACTGGTTTGCCCAGTTTCACAGTTATACATTTGATCCTTCATTGACCCGCAGGCATATGTACTCTACACATTGCTCTTGTTCTTGTCATGTTTTCCTCATCGTGTTTGGCATTTTTTGGACTGTTTAAAGGCTCCTGTGTGCTCCTCTTGTGCTTCTTTGGCACACTGTTTTCGTAAGACAGTTGCGTGTTTTAACCAAAGAATTTTTATTTAGGACATTAACTCATTTGGTCCTTCTCCCTCTGAGTCATTATAGTTTTAGCCATCCAACGGCAATAGCGGAGGGAATACTCACGTCTTCTGCTAAGTAAAGGTAGCAATACAACGTAAAAATAGTGGACTATAATATAAAGTAGGTCCTGCATTCGCAGCCTGTTTTAACTAAATGTATGCAAATCTTGTCAGCAAAATGTACTTGAGTAGCAATAAAAGTAAAAAATATTCACTGCAAACCAAGGTGGACCAATGTTGATGGATTTCTGCAAGACAATGAACTTGTATTTAAAAATTAGACATGACTGAAGAATAACTAATATTCTTGTTATTCTGGTGGACCTGGATGTGTCAGAGCCTTGTGCTATGATAGGCGATAGCACTAGATTCACTTTTTTGAGGCTTCGCTTTCTGTGTTTCATTTCATTCCTTATATTATTAAAGTTTTAAAATCCTAATGTGCTGTAAAGTAACAAAACTATAGTGTTCAGAGTTAAAACACTTACCTCTGCACTAATCAGACGTCAAAGTGAAAAGCAGCATAAAATGAAAAGTATACTGAACTGTAATAAAGTGTACTTGGTTACGGTGCACCACTGCAGTATAGTCGACTCAAATGTAAGCTGACGTTGTGGATGTTCAAAGGAAGTTAAAATGACTAGATGCTGTTGACTTAATTTTATGTTATGCATTTCGGAAGGAAGCACTGTACTTTTTAAACCCACAATACATCTATTTAACTAATACAGACAGTTACAGGAGAAGAACTGACACCCAAAGCACGCCATCGGGGTATAGGCCCAATACACAATGTTGCAAACGTTTAACCTATATCGATCTCTGTTGAGACTGGTGATATTTTTATACTTTCTTCTTATTTTAAAAGTTTCCTTGTGTTGGTCATACAGCCACGACAGACACGGCGCCATAACAACAAACAGCAGCTTGGAATTATGCTCATAAATTCAAGTGCACACGTGGACGCGCTCATTCGCTCCGAGGACGAACCACCCCTCTTTTAGCCCAGAAGTGGTACGCTCCATGTTGGATGTGTTCAGCTCATTGACCGGCGGACAATCCTCATCAGTACCGCCAGAGCCCCGGAGCCTCCGACAGACCGGCCCTTCATTCCCGCACAAAGCGCGCGGCATCCTCCAGCCTCTCCGTCCCGCCATGAAACAGACTCTGAGCGAACTGATGAGGATGAGCAGGATATGCCGGATGATATTTGCCACTTGTTTGGGATCCTTTATTCTGGTCATCTTTTATTTCCAAAGTATGTTTCAACCAGGTAGGATCTCGCTGCTCTTTCTCTCGGGTGTGTGAGTGTGTGTTGATGAATTGCATCCTGCCTGGTAACCTCCTGGCGCGCCGACACATCGATTTGTTCTGGCTGTACAGTAATGCGCCCGATAAATAATTGATACTCGCGCGATGTAAAGGCGTAAATCAACCAGAGTGAGTACGGTGGTTTAAATCGATCTTCCACGTGAGACCGGTCGCCTTGTTGCGCGTTCCGGCGTTTGCTGAGCTGCTCTTTTTTGGTTGAAGTGTTTCTTGGTTTGTGTGTATGTGTGGGCTGGCCACTCGCTTCCCTTCAGCTGACAAGTGGCATGGTGGCAGTAGCGGTGGGGGGGCTTTTTGTCTTCACAAACGCGGCTTGGCGATAGGAACTGGTGTACGGGGCAGCACTTAGGTCTGGCACGCAGCGTGGGCTGTGGCATTGTGCTCAAACGCTCCCCAGTGGTTCTCGCTGTCAGGAGAACAAGGAGTTACTTTCATGTGGAATCCATATCTAAAACGGAACTGTCTCTGGGGAGCGTTTAGGACGCGTGTCCTGTCTGGAGACCAGCAGGTAGTAATTTCTTGCACAAGAAAAGAGCTCCTCTCCATCTCAGCGGGGGCTCGGTGATAGAATTTGCATCTAATTATGTTAAATTATGTAATCTGATCTATTGCTTTGCCAAATCTCCGCTGTCTGGATGGATGGAAGGGCTGTACAGCAGCGTCTCTGTGCGCCGAAATCACACAAGTCTGCGCGTCAAGCACAGGCGCAGCGACTATTCAGGCTCAGGGCTGCCGACCTGCTGCACAACAGGTCTACAACGCTCTGAACGGACGAGCATACTTTCGGAGTATTTGCTTTCTCTTAATAAACTGAAGCACCAGACATTTAAATCCCAGAAAAGTCCCGCTGTCTGCGCGGCTCAGCGGCTCATTTCAGATTGACTGGATCAGGCTACGATACTTAAGGTTATAATAAACATATACAATATCTACAGGGGTTTAATGCCACCATGTCCACTGGTGAGATCGTGTAGAGACGTGGATCGGTGCGCAGGTAATGATTTGGAGACATCGCTGCTCTGTGTGGGTAATGGGGCTGCGATGAAACATGAGATAGACAGAGAAAGGCTAATATCATCCATGGGAATATGAAACTGAACTGACCTGCTGTTTTTTCTGTACACACACTGCCACTGTGTGAGTCACCAGTGCAGGTGCTGCTGCCATAGATGGACCATCATTTCTATTTCTAATCCGCTCAGAAATATTACCACAATACACGTGTTCTGTGTATTAGTAAGTCACTGAGAGTTTGATATCTTTTATTTATATAGATTAAAGTGTCACTGATTTAAAGTGTCTTTTTCAAGGATAACCTGACAAAGATGGCACCAGGTGACATTTTTAAACATAAGGAAAAAACACAAATACAAGTGAACACAGCAGTCAGACTATATGACATAACACATTAGGCACACAACTGTTTCAAACGAATTTCATGCACCATTCACACCGACAAAGAGTTCTTTTAACATTTACATTAAGTCATCCACAATAACCAGTTGTGGCAACGCATCCAGTCCAGTAAGGCTAAATGCCAGTTTCGTTACTTAGAAGGAGAAAATACATTTTATTTCGGCCTCTGTGATAACTTCTGATCTATAATTATGTCTAAATACTACTAAATATTTGTCAACAATTCTATTTCAGCTCCTTGACCACACTGTAAAAACAAATCCTAATATAAAAGTATTTTACTGTATGTTTTACAGTTTTGTACTGTTCTTCTAGAATATCATTAAATTTACATCAATAGACTGATTTCTCATTTCAAATGTAAATTAACGTAAAATCACTGTAAATGTAATAAAACATTATAAAACAATAAAACAATTTCCTTGTTTTTTAAATGTATCTGTCTGTACATGAGCATATTTAGATTGTTAAAATAATTCACAAAAGCATCATAATTTCACAAATATCTGTCCGTTATTTGAAAGATTGAACTGTTAAATTCAAATGTGGTGCTATGGAAAAATATATAAAATGATTCGTATAAACTTTTTTTTACATCAAATAATTATTATTATTATTATTGTTATTTAGGGCCATCGTGGCTCAAGAGTTGGCAGTTCACCTTGTAATCAGAAGGTTGCCGGTTCGATCCCCGGCTCGGGCACTCGGTCATTGTGTCCTTGGGCAAGACGCTTCACCTACAGGTGGTGGTCGGAGGAGAATTATAAAGTGGAATTGTAAAGTGCTTTGAGGGTCTCAAAGAGCGCGATATGAATGCAGCCCATTATTATTTAAACCAACTGTTAACTGTATATTTCTGTACATTTAAGTATTATTATTCATATTGCCGCATTCATTGACCTTGTTTATAGGTAATTTCATTGTTTAATCACATTAAAATGTTCCTAATTTAATGTTTAAAAGCACTTGAAAAAGGCAAAATCCCATGTAAAATTAGGGTAACAAATTGTATTTTCATTACTGGAAATCACCGTATTTTCATGAGTAAGTTATTTTCTGTTATTTTACGGTAGTATTTTGGTGCCCCAGCTGCCAGAATATTACTGTTTTTTTAAGATGTTTTTTCTAACAGTGCAGTTTTGTTCTTAGAAAGAGCAGAGACTGTGTAAAAATGGGTTGTATATAAAACTGGTCCAACTTTAGTCTGCTGGTTACTGTGACACTGAGCTCTGCTTAGTTATGATGGTTTCTTATTTTCATCCAAATTGAAATTAAGCAAAGCAGTTGTTGGTCATAGCTTTATAGTTAGGAAGGAGTCACACATGGAATAAAATGCAAAGATTAAATTCTACTCAAAAAATAATGCAACAGTTATGACAATGATGATGATAAAATGATGAAATGATGTCTTTATTAGGGATGGGTATCGTTTAGGTTTTATCCGATACCAGTACCAAACCGGTACTTTTGAAACGGTGCGGTGCTCGAACCGGTGCTTAAAGAATGGAAAACACAAAATTGGTCCAAAAACCTCTCATGTTCAGCTGTTTTTTTGTAAAAAGTTAACAAGTTAACATCACATTGACCTGTCTCTGTATTGTATGAATGGTCGGCAAGGTCTGTCATCTCGGTTGTGGGCAAAAGACCTGCAACTGACAAATAAAGGATCATCTCATCATCTCATCTCATCTTTTCTGCAGCTATGGAGCATTTATGGCATCACTCTTGGCTGGAAGCAGTGCTTAAACAATGGAAAAAACACAAACTTTGTCCAAAAACCTCTCATGTTTAACTGTTTTCCACTTTTTCTTTGGTCATTTTAGCCTTTTTGGCCAGGGTGAAGGGAGCATCTGCCATCAAACAAGAAGACAGCCGCATGTAGCTATGATGATGTTTGCTAGTTCACCTTACATGCATTAATGTAATAACGTGGTTAGCCTACTCAACGTAAATTACACACGAACAACATTAAGCTCCTCACGCAGAGAAGAACGGCTGCTGCTGCATCATCATCCTCATCATTTCTGCTACACTGGCAGGGCTAGGGGCCAGGACTCTCCTCTTCGGGTTCTTGGGGAATGTTGCTCCGGGTCCGATAACAGGCACCACACCCGCAGTAGATGCGCTCGGTGTGAGGTCTCGCAGCAAGCTATCAAATACGGCACATTTCTCGGCTTTTAAAAAAACGCTATGCGTCGCCAGGTGTTTCATCAGATTTGAGGTGTTACCTCCTTTGACAGCATCACAGTATCAGCTTAAAGCACTTGTTGCTGCTGAGTTTGCATCTTTTGCTGTGAAGTACAGCCAGACTTTGACCGCTTCGCCTTGGGCATTTTTAATCTGTAGCTCTGCTCTAAAAGAACGTATGTACCTGGGCCCGCCTACTACGCTCGCAAAGGTAAAATGATTGGCTAGAATCCAAAGTGTCTGACATCTCAGGGGGAAAAAGCACCGAAATAAAGCACCAAAATGTGCTCTGCTTTTCGGTCTGGTTACTACCGTTTATGTCAGAACCGGTGCCACAATGGCACTGGATACCCATCCCTAGTCTTTATAAGATGTTGGGCTGTTTGGTGCTGCCAGAAGAAGCTCAAAGAGCCTTGGCTTGATTCTGCACGTCTCTATAGAAAGAGATACCGAGGGGCTGAAACACCAATTACTCCACATGATTTTCAGGTTTTAGATAATGATGGTGAGAAACAAAAATTATAGTAAAATAATTGCTGTATTGCCCAGTTTTCTGTGCAACTCCAACTTTTATAGGTCAAATTAAAAATAGTTTGCCGTGTTGTGCAAAGGTGCATGCACACTGACTCTGGATACAGATGCTCATGTTGAAAACTCAAGTGAAAGCTCTGGTGTACTGGGTAGCAGCAGAGCTGTACTGCCTGGCTCCAAGTGAGAGTCAAATTTTTGTTAATATGGGTGAACTGACCCTTTAATCATCTTGATGCACGCTCAATCATCCAGGTTAGTAAATCCCAGAAAGGTTGATTCTGTTGATCTGGATGTAGAGTTTCCAGTGAGTGACTTGAGTCTCAACTAGACTTTGTGACCCTTTATGCATTTAAAATGTCTTTTTAAGACGCCCTGTTTGCGAAGATCCTGGTAGAATCATAAGATTTATTTAAATATTACGTAACTGTAACCTGCTGCAGGAACACTGTACAGAGAGAGACCTCTTGTCTGTGTGTCATTAAAGGAGCTTCCAGGGCAGGAAGTGATTGTAATAGGTGAACCGAGCCTCCATAAAACTGTTCTCAAGGACCCCGGGATCATGCTCCAAGAGTTGTGCCAATCGCCACAGATGTTGCGTCAGCTTCTGCTCAACACACACACACGCACACACACACACACACACACACACACACACACACACACACGCACAGACACACACACACACAAACGCACACACACACACACACGCACACACACACACACACACACACACACACACACACACACACAGACACACAGACACACACACACAACACACCACACACACAGAACACACACACACGCACACAC